TTGATATAAGAAACTCTTTTAAGCTCTAACTTAATAGCAAATTACGTACCCTAATCTAATAGCGTAGATTTTTACTTAGAAAAAAATTTGGGTGGAGAATTAACCAGGGTATATATCAGATGGTGCAGACCCACCGATATGATGCAGACCCGCTGATATGATTGGTACATTATTATTCTCATAAACCAGGAAATTAAAAATTTGGCATCGGCTAGCCGGTCGGCTAAACCGATCGGTCGTTTAATATCGGCTACGGCTATAGCCGGCTATAACCGGCTATAGCCGTAGCCGATTCCATCCCTAGTATTGGTAGAGTATATCGACCCAGTAACTTCTCAGACGCAGTCTATATTTTCTCAACGTAAATGTCTGAAAGATAATCTCCGGCTAAAAAAATTGTCCATTCAATCAATATACTTTTCTAATAACAGTTGACTTGAATTTGTGTTAGTTACCCCAATGGCATTACATAATTTGGAGAAATTTTGACTAACATTAAAAAGCTTAATCCCCGATCCCGCAGCTGATCCAATGATTTAATTGATTAGTGTATTTTGGTCGATTTTTTAAACACATTTTCCAAGATTTTGATTTTTCTTTACACTTGATCTTTCGACCTTATTGGATAAAAATCACAAGGGGGGATTTTTTGTGGAGCTACCAACTATATTTTTCACGAGTAGCATCTCTGCTTTCACAAATATGGACGCTGGAGCTGTGGCAAAAGATATTTCCAATGCACTTAAAAACACTGATTTTACGGAAAAAGAAAAAAGTAAAATACTGGCCTATTTCACAATGAACTTTGAGTTAGCAACTTATACAAGTTCTTTCCTTCGTTCTTTGACAACGCAAGAGGAACAGTCTGATTATTTGAAGAGTTTAGGGGAGATAATACTCACAGAATCAGGTATGCTCTTTTATTCGAAGTATAAATAGTATCTGGATAATATTTAACTTTATTTATCTGCATGAACTATAATTTGCTAACACTTTTTTTTTTTCCTCCGCTTCATGCAGAACAAAAAGTTACTATAAGACCGACTGGTGAGTAAATCATGAAAAGTTTTGTACAGGTTCTTAGGCTATCCGTTTAATTACTAAACCAATTATTAACTCTTAAGGCAATTTATCTAAAGAAAATATCAAAAAGATTCTTGATCCGTATATAATTGATCCGGAAAACTCGCTTTGTGAATCAATTACACTATTTGACGGTGTCCCGAATGAGGTTTCCGATATTTCAACTTACCTAAAGTTTGTAAACCGTGAAGAGGAAGTTAAACAATTGATGAAAAATATGGAATACATATACAACACAGTCAATGATGTTAATCAATATTCAGAACCCCTAAAAATGGTAGTATGTTCAACTGCAGTAGGAACAGCTGGTAAAGGGAAAACTACATTTGCTCGACGAGCATATGATAATCCAGTAATTTACTCTGATATCGTGAGATCAGAAGTTGTAAAGGAAGTAAGAACATGTCTTGAGAAAGGTCGAAATTATCGAATTGGATGTGATCAATTTGGAGATTTTTATGGAAGCGCTGAGGCATCCTTTGGAACAATGTTGTTGTATGAAGCTTTAAAATGCAAATTGTCGTAAGATTTGATATATTATATTTTTCATTATGTATTAAGCTTGCGCCATCATGATAATTATATTATCATTTTTAAATTTTTTCAGTGATAAGATAAATTATTACATGCTTAGAAACTTGCTAGGAAATAATATTACCCTCGAAGATATTCTTAATGTGATTATGCATTATACGGATGCGAATAAAAAACCACTTTTTATTATAAATATTGATGAAACTAATGCGCTGTTCGATAATAACGATGATATTGTATGGCTCAAGGGCGTTCTTCGGGCCATTGCAAGGTTAATCGAGCAGAAATATTTTCTTTTTGTTGTATTGACTGGAACCCATGCAAGAAATCTGTTTAAAACAGTAAAGTCAAGCGGTGCAAAATTCGAAGATATATCTTTACCACTACTCAAACCCAGGCATGCCGAGGAAGTCATAATTGAGTTGGCTAACCGAAAGGTGGTTTTACTACAGACATTATGGTCCAATACTTGTTTATCTATAATAACCATATTAATTTTAACCGGGTATCTTTTCAGATAAACGAAGGGAGGTGGGTATAGTTATATATTGCAAATTGCAAGGCCGAAATGTGTGACAGATTACGACTAATGATTAGCATCGGCTATATTAAATAGAATTTAACGTTAGGGTTGGATTGAGAGTGAATTTAAGACACCAAGAGCGGTTTTATAGGCAAAATTTTGAGTGGAACCCTTTTTTTTTTCTTAATTTTATCGATCAACCTTGTCACACATTTCAGTCGTGCCTGAATATTTTAACTATGCTTATAATAATCACTTTAAATTCTTGGTTTCAGGCTTACTGAAATCTCTCAACATTTAAAATATATAATTGACCTTCTTGGTGTTGTTGGTCGTTTCCTTGAGGCTATGATCTTCGAGATGGGAGTCATTGGTTCTGCCGCTGCTTTCAAGACAACCACTTATGAATCTAAATTTCATCGAAACGGATTACGTTACTTCTTAGAGTACTGCCAACATAAACCAGAATATTGCCAAGAACTCCTTAAAAGAACGAAGAAACACATCAGTAGAAAATACAATCATTATTTTAAACATTTCGCCGAAACAAATAATCTTGGACTCATCCCTTCTCTGGTCGCATACACATTATTTGGGTGGCCTGTTGAACGAACGGACGAAATTGATGTTAACATGAAACGCAAAGTTGAGGTAAGTGTTAAAATCTTGATATTTACGTTCCCTAAATGAACCTTAAAATTTTATATTATATTGATAGGATTTGGAAAAAGAAGAGATTATTTTTCTCGATGGAAATAAGATTAAGCTTCCGTTTATCACACTTCACGAAATCTATTCTTCTCACCGGAATTTTAGTGCAGTTTCATCTATCAGATACTAGAGTTCTTGGACAACTATATATCACCGGATCAAAATGAGAAATCAACCATTTCAGTGATTGTATTTCGTCTATGGGCGATTTACCAAAAATCAATTACCAATGGTGGCATAGATCATTGTAGTTGCATGCTTTCTCAACTTTTTCCGCTAAGATCCAACCAGAAAGATGCGCAAATCAAGTTTACACCTGTATTTACAGTCCATTCAACAGAAAAGCAAATTAATGAAACAAACTGGAATCAATTTATTCAAAGTCATAGTAATCATTCCCCACAAGAATGTATAGCTTACCACAATTCACAGGGTGCTTCATTTGCTGATTCGCTCTTGCTCACGGATCCGCCAATCCTTATTCAAGATAAGCAACAAATAGTAAGTCGCAAGAAAATTATCGATGGTAAGTTGCCGAATATGCTAGGAAAGGGGCTCGTGGAAAAAGAACATAACAAGTGTAAAAATATCGGAAAACATATTTTTGTTTTTGTGACAGATTCTAAAAAGCGTATGGATGAGATTTACAGGGAAAATGTTATTGTAATAACGGAAGAAGAAAAGAAAGGAGTATTTGGAGATTTATTAGCACTCAGAGCGTTGCATTGCATTGAACGGACCTAGATTCAGCCCTTTAAAAAAACCATTACTCGGTTGATCATCGGTTAATCTTTAGGTATATTCAGATAACAAAGCTAAGAAATTGAAATACTTATAATCAAAATAAATAAATGAATAAAGCTCAATTAAAAATATTCTAAAATAAGAGATTTTGATTAGGACTGAAACAAAAACCTTTTACAGTATTTAGAATAATAAAATTATGGACTAGGTGCTGCAAAAAGGGGAAATTGGCAAATTTTTTTAAAATTAATTTTTTTTACATAAATTAATTTAGAACAAGGTTAGAATTATTTTTATTTAAGAAGTTGTGTTAATAAAAGTTTGTAGTATAGCACTTCAAAATTTGCAATTTTTTATGATTTATTATAAAATTTGCAACATAAAAATTTTCCGAAGTTTTTTTTTGTTGATTTCCCCCCTTCTTGCAGCATTTAGCACAGATGCTTATAATTATATATTTATGTTGTAAGTGGGAATGGAATTTAAGTGAATTTGGAATTTCCTAGTTAAATTAGGGTTAGGGTTAGGGTAGAATCAACCCAAAAATGGTGTTTTATATATAAATTCCGAATCCACTTAAATTCCGTTTCCACTTACAACATTTACATGCTTATCACTTGTTCCTGGTATTGTTATAAATTTAAGCTAGCTACTATTTTTATACTGCATTAGTTCAACACTTGCGCATGTTAGAGTAAACCCAGCTGTATATAATATATATAATTTTAACTGATTTTGCATGAATATTTTAATGATTCTAAATGTTTTAAAAACGCAATATTAAGCTTTAATACGCATTAAATTTTATTGCAATTCTATTCACATGTTATCAATCAGAATGTTCATTTTTTTTACTTAATCTTAAAGTTTTTGCATACTTTAATTGTGGCGTACATTATATAAGCGTATTCGTGCTTTACACGTCATAGTGATTTGTTTATTTTAAATTATTGCTGCTGTAGAATTCGCCACAAGTATTTTGTCGATCATTATTGTGACGAAAAAAACGAAATTTTCAGATGAATTGCTACTCAATGAGTAAGCATGATTTTACAGTATTAAAAAAATTTCGTAACATGATAACTACAGGAAAGATTTACAAAGGGGCGGTTTTTTTTTTTTTTTTTGCGAATTATGCTTGTTCGTCGAGGAATGGTGATTTTAGATGTCTTTAAGGCGCTCGCACCATATATGAAATATATTATAAAATAGTCAGATAGAAATTAAGATATTGGATAATTGAAAGAATTTAACATAAGGTTACACAATATAAAGGTGAAATGCCTGGATATTTTTTTAATAAATAATGTTCAATAGATTGAAGAGCATTTAGGTTCATTATGTTCAGCATCGTAGGTTAAATGGTAAAAGAACAGTTCCAGATATTATGGTAAATATACATAATCTTGCTTAACAATAGCAAAGAAATTGTTTTAAGCTTCGAAGACGTGTAATAATAAGAAAAATTATGCAGTAAATTCTATGTTATTCCTTACACCGTCTCGCAGGCAAATTTGCCTGCGAATTTTTTGTACAACATTGAGAGTTTAAATTCCGACGTTGGCTT